GTAACAAGCTGCGCACTCTCAAACGTAGTGTCCCCCCGTGGCCTTCCTCCTGCCACCGTAACCGGCGGTGGGAAACTGCTTTGGCACGGCTGCGGGTTGGCCATACTCGCTTAACCCACGGTCACTTAATGGAGCGCCGCCCTCCTCCTTATTGTCCGAATTGTTGTCCCTCTTACAGTTGTGCATATCCTTGATGAATGTCCTGACTTCCAGGACGAGCGTGTGTCTTGCTTCCCGACCGTCCCTCGCGGTCACTTGTCCCTCGATAGAATTCTAGGTGAATCGGATACGTTTGATATCGTTCGCCTTATGCGTTTTTGTTCTTGTATTGGCATTCTTGGTGATATTTAGCGCCCTCTGATTATTTAGCACTTTGATGGTGCTACATAGCCTTCCCGGTTTGGTGCCTTCTTTTGATAATTACTTACTTGATAATTACCTTACCTTCTATGAAATTTATTAATGTGGAACAAGAGTGATGCACGTATGTTGTGTTGAGCTTGTTCCATCAGTTTTAATTATGTGAACTGATACTTGCATTGATGGATATACTTATTTGGTAAATTTCTACTTTACTATTTTTAAAGATGCGAGAGTCGGCCACAACCCGAGTAACGTCAACCTCGTGAATTGCAGAAGACTCTAACCTCCCTCTTGTGTGTGGCCGCCCACTGGCGGGCAGTGAGTCGCATGTCGGGACGCCCTGGTGGAGTAAGAGTACGGACGCTTGGGCTGCCGCATGTTGGGACGCCCTGGTGGAGTAAGAGTACGGACGCTTGGGCTGCCGCATGTTGGGACGCCCTGGTGGAGTACGGACGCTTGGGCTGCCGCCTGAACGGGGAAGACTGGTGAACACTCCCGCTGATCTCCTGCGTTAGTCCATTATTATTGACCCCATTAATCCAAGCAACCTTTGTCCTCCTTCAAAGATCTCTTGTTCTACTAGTCTATCTTAGGCTAAAAGTTGCATTGTCCCTCTTACAGTCGCTCATATCCTTGTTGAATGTCCTGACTTCCAGGACGAGCGTGTGTCTTGCCTTCCGACCGTCCCTCGCGGTCACTTGTCCCTCGATAGAATTCTTGGCGACTCTGATACTTTTGATATCGTTCGCCTTATGCGTTTTTGTTCTCGAATTGGCATCCTTGGTGATATTTAGCGCCCTCTGATTATCCCGCACATTTGATGGTGCTACATAGCCTTCCCGGTTTGGTGCCTTCTATTGATAATTACTGACTTAAGCTAAAAGTTTTGCATCTGACATGGTTTAGTGTAGGAGCTGGAATTACAAATTAGAATTACTTTGTAATTCCAGCTCCTACACTATTAGAATTAGCTCCTACTCCAATTGGAATTAATTTGTAAATTTTGTGTAGGAGCTGGAATTACTACAAATTAGTTGATAGTCGCGTGACAAACAGGTCTGATCTTGTCTTATGCACCCCATACCCATCCCGTGGGCGGTGGTGGAAAGGGTTAGAGCCACATAATGGGTTCAGGGAGTGAGCCCCAGAGTTCATTTAGCCAAGTGATAATCGTTTGAAGCTAACTGGACAATTGTTAATGTTACATGTACACAATTATTTACACAAATACATGCATATAGATGATAATCTCATATCAAGTGATACAAGAGGCTCTGAAGTCACTAGTAACACTGTAGTCTTGCTTTAGCCACCCAACTGGGCGGCAACTTCAGTCATGTTCTCCACAACGGCGGCAGCTTTAATAATGTGCGCCACCCAATTGGGCGGCAGCTTCAGCAACTCAACTGGGCGGTAACTTCAGTCATGTTCTCCACACAACAGCGGCAGCTTTAATCATGTGCGCCAGCTTCAGCCACCGAATTGGGCGGCAGCCTGGGCCACCCAATTGGGCGGCAGCCTGGGCCACCCAATTGGGCGGCAACTTCAGTCATGTTCTACACACAACGGCGGGAGCTTTAATCATGTGCGCCACCCAATTGGGCGGCAGCTTCAGCCACCCAATTGGGCGGCAGCTTCAGCCACCCAATTGGGCGGCAGCTTCAGCCACCCAATTGGGCGGCAGCCTTAGCCACCCAATTGGGCGGCAGCTTCAGTCATGATCTCCACAACGGTGGCAGCTTTAATCATGGGCGCCACCCAATTGGGCGGCAACTTCAGCCACCCAATTGGGCGGCAACTTCAGTCATGTTCTCCACACAACGGCGGGAGCTTTAATCATGTGCGCCACCCAATTGGGCGGCAGCCTGGGCCACCCAATTGGGCGGCAACTTCAGTCATGTTCTACACACAACGGCGGGAGCTTTAATCATGTGCGCCACCCAATTGGGCGGCAGCTTCAGCCACCCAATTGGGCGGCAGCTTCAGCCACCCAATTGGGCGGCAGCCTTAGCCACCCAATTGGGCGGCAGCTTCAGTCATTATCTCCACAACGGTGGCAGCTTTAATCATGGGCGCCACCCAATTGGGCGGCAACTTCAGCCACCCAATTGGGCGGCAACTTCAGTCATGTTCTCCACACAACGGTGGCAGCTTTAATCATGTGCGCCACCGATGGGTGGCAGCTTGTCACGTGCGCCACCCAACTGGGCGGCAGCTTTACAGTCACGTGCGCCACCCAACTGGGCGGCAGTTTTAGTCATGCTCTCCACCCAATTGGGCGGCAGTTTTACAGCCGCCCAATTGGGCGGCAGTTTTAGCTATGTTCCCCACAACGGCGGCAGCTTTACAGTCACGTGCAGGCTGCACCTACAGTGAGCACATTTTGGATACTTCCCTCAGATGCCCGGCAGCACGTCATTATGGATGAAGTTCTTGGACTCCATTGATGGTGTTCTCTGAATTCAGCGATTTTTCTTCACATTCCAGTATATGACGACGCAAAGTATGCCAATAGTTCTGCTAACAGTTTTCATTTAGTCACATCTACATCAGCAGATGTTACAAACTCCCAGAGGTACTTGTAGCAGAGCCTAAGCCTAGCAGTGGTGACATCTAGGCGTCTGCTAACCTTACTGGGTGACCCATAGACGTGCGGTACTGCCTACACAATAGAATGAGTAACTGGTGTGAATTTCACCAAGTCTAAGATTTTTATTGATGGTCCCGGAATATTACTGCCCTCAGACTGCTCTGTCCAAGATGGTAATTAATTCTTCCTTTGAGTAAAAGATTTTTGCCCACTCAATTCTATCATGCATTTGGAAACCAATATGGGAAGTTCTTAGATGAGAACTATCTTGTGCTCCCCAATCCTCCAAAATGTACCTAAACCATACAACTTCAACATTGTAATCATTGCTTTCATATGGTTATATTTAACGTAGATTTTACTACATTTCACCTTTCATTAATCTTCAAATTATGCTACAATGTACCTGTTGATAACAAGTACATTAAAGTAAAATTCGAGGGTTAACACTAATTTTGCTAGAAATTACCTATTTAAAATTATATCTTAGATTAAGGACCTGCCCGAAACTCCGGGTTATTGGCTTTACAAGTTAAATCATCAGTGCTACGTACTCAGACCCAATGTACCTTCATATATATAGAAGACCAAGTGATGACGGGCAAGGCATAGTTTTAAATTTAGATTTTGCCCCGAGGGGCGAGTTTATTGGGCAGCGCCACTCATCCTGTGAGTGAACACACCGCCATAGCAACATGTACAACACTCCCCAATAGGAAGAAAACCCGCTGGATTTATCCTGTCACTTGTACCCAGACACAGCTGGGAGTTAACTCACGTGAACAGCTTCTCAAAACTAGAAGATTAACATTGTCAACCCTTAAAATCTTACGTTATCGTGCGGGTGCAAAATGGTGAAAATCTCTGAAGACACTTATATTTTACTTTTTCTAGCTTAATATGGGTATTATGCTATACATTTCTAATGACTTCAATGTTAACACTCTGGTAGTTGTCAAGGCGGTGTCCATCACTACAGATTCTGCATCTTTGCTGCCCAACTGTTTCCATTCCGAATCTCCATGAATATTTGTATCCAAGACGGATTCTCGCTATTACTGATTCTCTCCCGCGGCGGCCGCCACTTCTTCGTCCATATTGATTGGGATTGCCAGTCGCAACCACATTGTATCAGCGTTCAGATTCACTTTTTTGTTTTATCCTTACCTCGCCAACATTGTCACTGATTTTGATTGACAATACCTCGAATTTGTAGAAGTCTTTGGTATAAAAAAAAAATCTATATGGTCTTTCAGCGTCTTCAAGCAGAAGATCTGTTGTGCATTTCCACAGATTTCAACATGGGAGGGAATCTACAGAAATTTGACGACTCTTCCTCGATTGGCTAGTACTCTCAACTCCTGATTTCAGCAGCTATTGCAAGACTTTCTGCCCGACTAAGGCTTTGTAGCGCCGTTTGGGAATCTCTGCAGATTACTGCAAATTGGCGTTTCGTTCAAGGAACCTTAACGCCATAATGGCATTTAGCTCTACTTGCGTTGAAGAGCGGAGTTCTCAATACGGGCTTTTCCTTCATTGTCCCGTTGTAAGGCATTATTCCTCAGTACAGTGTATGCTGCACCAGCCCTGCCATTGACAGTGTTAGACGACCCATCAGTGTAGAGTGGATCCAATTCTTTCCCAACTTCTTAACTTAGTTCATCGTTTTATTCCGTCGTCGAAGATGTTCAGTTGAGAGACAGTCCTCGATGCCTTCTCTTGTGTGGTGTAGTTGGCCGGACCTGAGGACGAGGGGAAGGCAACATTAGCAATGACAGCTTTCAAGTAGTTAATATTACACTTTTTACCGTTACGTAAATGTAGTTCATTAAGCCTTCGTTAAACACTAGCAACCTTCACTACCGCCCACAGGATGGATATAGGTGTTCACATTAGTCAATGTATGGGGTCCATTATCACCCATATGATGGGGCATTGGAGGGGTCCATTATCACCCATATGATGGGGCATTGGAGGGGTCCATTATCACCCATATGATGGGGCATTGGAGGGGTCCATTATCACCCATATGATGGGGCATTGGAGGGGTCCATTATCACCCATATGATGGGGGCATTGGAGGGGTCCATTATCACCCATATGATGGGGCATTGGGGGGGTCCATTATCACCCATATGATGGGGCATTGGGGGGGGTCCATTATCACCCATATGATGGGGCATTGGGGGGGTCCATTATCACCCATATGATGGGGCATTGGGGGGGTCCATTATCACCCATATGATGGGGCATGGGGGGGTCCATTATCACCCACATGGGGCATTGAGGGAGGGGGGGTCTACTATCGCAATATAAATAGAAGTATGGACTGGAGACTGATACACAGAAGCTTAGGAGTTCATTAACAATGATGGAATATGGTAACAAGAGACACTAGTCGCTAATATTAATGTGCAAATATTTAAGCTAGAAAATTAATGATTGACAATTTATGAAACTGACATTTTAAGTGCAAAGTTTATACAGTTTTGTAAAATGGAGTCTAGGTGGTACACTGGTAAATTTTGAAATATTTTAAGAACCTATGCAGGTGCTTGTGAGGGTTGTTTTAATACCTGTTTAAAGGCTTAATATGAAAGGTTATATATTCCCAATTATTTGTCCATAATACCTGCCTACACCCTCCCCCCAGCGGGCAGTTGATGCTCCATCTAAATCTCTTATCACGCATTAGCCTACAGTTTCAGTGATATTTATGAGGTATAAATATGGGACTACTGATAACATTACTGTATAACCCATCCACCGGGCGGCAGTATATACCATTGTATATAATGTGGGGCGAACGAACCATTGTAATAATTTATATAGTACGCTTATTATAATTTACCGAGAAGTACCAAGATTCGTCCTAAGTGCTAACCTTTAACAGGATGCACTGTAGAATAGTGGTTTAAATCATGGGTTGAAACATTAGTTGACACAATAGAGACTTATAACGTTTGTTTATTTTACTAAAAATTTTATTTTTAATGTTTCAGTTTAGTTCATCTGTCAACAGCCATCATCTTCGCTGACAACTTCACTATAATCTTAATTATTAAACCTTAAAATTACAAGCCTAAAGAGCCATAAGTGGCAGCTATGAACCATAAGCGAATTATAGACCTTAATTAATAATAGTAATTATTAGAATTATTATTTAACTTTGGCCTCGAGTCAAATACATTATCGCCTGGGAATATGGCTGGCCCTCAGGCTGGCCCTCAGGCTGGCCCTCAGGCTGGCCCTCAGGCTGGCCCTCAGGCTGGCCCTCAGGCTGGCCCTCAGGCTGGCCCTCAGGCTGGCCCTCAGGCTGGCCCTCAGGCTGGCCCTCAGGCTGCTCAGACAATCAGATGGTAGCCAATCATGTGCACTTAATCCAACCTGCGATTCGTCAAGGAAAATTGAAATGATAGTTTCCCCCATAAAAAGGGAGGAGAAGACGCAACAAGGGAGCACGGGGGGGGGGAAGACGCAACAAGGGAGCACGGGGGGGGGGGGGGAAAGACGCAACAAGGGAGCACGGGGGGGGGGGAAAGACGCAACAAGGGAGCACGGGGGGAGGGGGGGAAAGACGCAACAAGGGAGCACGGGGGGGAGGGGGGGAAAGACGCAACAAGGGAGCACGGGGGGGAGGGGGGGAAAGACGCAACAAGGGAGCACGGGGGGGAGGGGGGGAAAGACGCAACAAGGGAGCACGGGGGGGAGGGGGGGAAAGACGCAACAAGGGAGCACGGGGGGGAGGGGGGGAAAGACGCAACAAGGGAGCACGGGGGGGGGGAAAGACGCAACAAGGGAGCACGGGGGGGGGGGGGGGGGAAAGACGCAACAAGGGAGCACGGGGGGGGGGGGGGGGGAAAGACGCAACAAGGGAGCACGGGGGGGGGGGGGGAAAGACGCAACAAGGGAGCACGGGGGGGGGGGGGGAAAGACGCAACAAGGGAGCACGGGGGGGGGGGGGAAAGACGCAACAAGGGAGCACGGGGGGGGGGGGGAAAGACGCAACAAGGGAGCACGGGGGGGGAGGGGGGGAAAGACGCAACAAGGGAGCACGGGGGGAGGGGGGGAAAGACGCAACAAGGGAGCACGGGGGGGGGGGGGAAAAGACGCAACAAGGGAGCACGGGGGGGGGGGGAAAGACGCAACAAGGGAGCATGGGGGGGGGGGGAAGACGCAACAAGGGAGCACGGGGGGGGGGGGAAAGACGCAACAAGGGAGCACGGGGGGGGGGGGGGAAGACGCAACAAGGGAGCACGGGGGAGGGGACGCAACAAGAAGGCTGGGGGGAAGGAAGGAGGGGGACCCGCCACACACAGACAAACTGCAAGAGACGAACCTGGAACTGGTCACCAAAAGTGAGGTAAAACCACACTGAAGTGAGTTTTGTCTCATCGTCTCTTTTATAACCAGCAGCCAACCAAACCCGGCCGCTGATTGGTTGACATTCACCCTAAAACTCACCCCATTGGTTAACATTTTGCGCGTCTGAAGTGTCAATTATCACTGGCCAACAGCCACTCCTTCACTTCCCCAAATACGAACGAGTCTCTAATGAACCAATAATGATCCCCAGCTTAAATGTTTGAAGTTGTTAATTTCAAATGCTAATTCACAAACCAAATACAACATTCTATTGTAAATGTTGCAACAGAACAACAGGTACAACAGAGCAACATTTGCAGTAGAATCGCCAGTGAAGTAGTAATCGTCCGTCAGTCCAGAACTGTTAATGGCCGCTCCACAACTAATTTATTTATTTATTTATTTATATATACAAAAAAAGTACATTGGGTTTAGGAGAGAACACAACATTGGTGTTTTTACATTCTTGTAAAGCCACTAACACGCACAGCGTTACGGGCAGGTCCTTAATCTGACAGATAATTTTAAGTAGGTAATTTCTAGCAAAATTATTTTTTTTTTAACTTTAACTGCCTCCCTCCCCCCTGCCCCTTGTTGCGTCCCCCTCCTCCTCCTGCCGCTTGTTGCGTCCCCTTCTTCCCTCCTCCTCCTGCCCCTTGTTGCGTCCCCTTCCTCCCTCCTCCTCCTGCCCCTTGTTGCGTCCCCCTCCTCCTCCTTCCCCTTGTTGCGTCCCCCTCCTCCTCCTGCCCCTTGTTGCGTCCCCCTCCTGCCCCTTGTTGCGTCCCCCTCCTCCTCCTGCCCCTTGTTGCGTCCCCCTCCTCCTCCTGCCCCTTGTTGCGTCCCCCTCCTCCTCCTGCCCCTTGTTGCGTCCCCCTCCTCCTCCTGCCCCTTGTTGCGTCCCCCTCCTCCTCCTGCCCCTTGTTGCGTCCCCCTCCTCCTCCTGCCCCTTGTTGCGTCCCCCTCCTCCTCCTGCCCCTTGTTGCGTCCCCCTCCTCCTCCTGCCCCTTGTTGCGTCCTCCTCCTGCCCCTTGGTCTCCTCCTCCTGCCCCTTGTTGCGTCCTCCTCCTGCCCCTTGTTGCGTCCTCCTCCTGCCCCTTGTTGCGTCCCCCTCCCTCCCTCCCTTTTTATGGGGGAACTAACATTTCAGATTTGTCTTGGGTAATCGAAGGTTGGGTTTAAAGTGCATAACGCTGCGTGTGGCACTATAGCAGACCTCAGACTGACCTATGACACTCCTCTACCCCACTTGTGTCACGCGAGGAAACTACATGACTAGTTCTGTTCTTGGCAGTCAATGTTACTACAAAAGGGTAGCTTTTATTTCCACCCCCCCCCAAATGGTTTCAGCCTTTAATTTTTAAAGTACTCTACGAACCTCTAAGTTATCTACATCCCTAGCCTAGAGGCTTAACAAATGGTTTATCTTGGATAGTATTAACTTAACAGGTAACTACCAATTTAAGTTTGAAACAAATATCCTGCTTAACATTCTCGTGTAATTATTACTAAGGAAAAATTCTTCAATATTTTCTTCCTTGGCTTACCCTATTAACCATATTTATGCACCAGGGTTAAGTCTGAATGCATTCTTTAGTCTTAAATTGATATTATTTCTCAGTTTCTGCTTAAAATACTAGTGTGGGTGTGTTGGGTATCCGGGGACCACAGACCTTGGTGTTCCTTCCGTATCCTAAGTAAAACCAATTTTCGTCTTGCCTCTCCCTTCCCTAAACTTTTCCTTCAGGGAAAGTCTACAGTTCTCAAGACACTAACCGGTTTCAAACTAGTTGCTTTCCAGTTCCATATTACGTCCAACAGTACACTCTTCTAGCGGCACTCTTGTCCCTCCAATCCCTTCCTCCATTTCAGGTATCCCAACTTCCATTTGCCCCTCGGCCTCTACCCCAGCTTCTGTTTTAGGTTTGGCTACTCAGAAGTAAATGTCTATATAGCACGGCTATAGTGAGCCCGTAAGAATTCTGGTTTCCTCCAGCTTGAGTCTCATCCTTCAAGGCCACAGCAAACTCGACACTCCATCCTGTGGAATACCTGATAACATAGTAAGTACAATGTTTTTATTTTTTTATTTTTTTTTAGAGTACCGAAGATGCAGGTTAGAATCCTCAACATGGCTTATTTTGTCCCCCTTTTAGTAATTTTAGATTAATATAATTTTCAACCGTTTCAGATGCATGAAACGAGGGCTGGTAAGAACTACCATTTCTCATGGTGCGTAAATACTAATACCTATAGCTGGGATCAAGCCAACTTACTGCTAATCTTGGCAGAGGCTTCCAGCTAGTTGATATCAAAGAGGATAAGCTTTCATAAAGAGCGTTTTTGCCATAAGTGAGTTTACTTGAGTGTTTAACATAGTTATACTTCGTTGACTTAAATGTATATTAAATATAATCTTCCTACTGGATAAAAATTTATTAAATGGCCAAGAATTTTTCTAAAACTATGTAGTATTTGTTAGGTGGAATTCACGTGAAAGTAAGTAATTATCAAAAAGAAGGCACCAAACCGGGAAGGTTATGTAGCGACATTGCCTGTCACCACGTAAAGTCCGTCATCAGTGACACAAACCTTTGATATTTTTTGTTAATGGCCTAGTTTCCTGAAGTAAAATAAAATTTAAACTAGCTCAATCTTCTTAAATACTTTAGCCAGGAGTTTTCTTAATGCTTTGTTTCTATACAACTTGTCACTTAAGGACATGAAATGTTGTTAAGGTTCTCTTGCCCCCTCCTCAAATTTAAACATTAATTTTTTAATTTAAAAATGTTAAGTTTAGTCTTAAATTTAAGAATCTTTAAATTTAAAATTTAAAGATTGTATTAAATTTTCACATTTTAGGAAGATAGTGGGGGGGGGGGTAAGAGCAGGAAAGAATTTTTGCATGAAATTCTAGCAAGACTTAACAATTCTCTTTTTAACTTAAGAAGGATGTATTTATTAATTAGTAAAATTTTTGCAACAAAGAATTAGTGATGCATGCATGTTCTGTGTTGAGCTTGTTCCATCTCTAGGTTTTAATTATGTGAACAGATTTTTATTAGTAATGGATATCCTTGGTTGATCCTTTTTTCTTGGTTGAAGGTGAATTTTTATTTTAATTAAAAATGAAGATAGTGTCTGCCACAAATGGTGTGGCAACACAAGTAACGTCGTCCTTGTGAATTTTAAGATTAATGAAACCTTGCTTGCTTTTGTGTGTCGCCACCTGCTAAGGGCAGTGACTCTAATTATAAGACACCCTAGAGTAAGAGTACGGATGCTTGGGCTGTCATCTGAATGGGCAAGTAGTTTTGTGAACACTCCTGCTGGTATCTTGTTCCTTTATTGCCGTTTCTTGCTCCACTACTCTTGAGCTACAAGTTTTTCATCCGAGGATGATGTGGTTTCGTGTAAGAGCTAAGAACTACAGTAACGGTACCATTGATCTCCCGGAAGAAAGCTGTCAATGTATCTACCACTTAATATTGGGTTTGTACATTTAAAATTTTATCTTGGATAAATGAGGCGCTAGCACAATAAAATTTAACTTATTAGTGGTTATTCAAACTATTCTAATTGATGTCATTTACTGTACTCGTGTATCCCTCTGGATTTCTGTATGAAAGAATAGAAAAATTCTGAAGAAACAAAATTCAAAGTGTTTACATCTACAAATTAGTTGATAGTCATGTGGCTCTCAAACCTGAGAATTAACAGGTGATCTTGTCCTCCCGACTTTAGTATTTTATATAGACTTAAAGGTCCAATGTAATGTATAAAGGGGCAACTGCTTGAAGAGAAACTTCACCCCATAGGGTTTAAATATGTGGAACTGCCTACCTGCAAAAGCTGTTGGCATAGTATAAATTATGTTTATTATACAAATAATTGGGAAGAGGAACAATAAGTTGCCTCAACAAGGACAGGCAACTAGTACAGTGTGAAGGTAATCCTAACTTAAATACATGGATTTACCAGTCCTAATCCATCCACCGGGGGGGGGAGGGGGGGAGGGGGGGAGGGGGGAGGGATAAGGATTTGGGATGGGACGGGGGAAAGGAATGGTGCCCAATCACTTGGATGATTGGGGATTGAACGCCAAACAGCACGAAGCAAGTCGCTCTACCATCCAGCTCAAGTGGTTGGGCGAGCCACATATTTTAAAGATTTGTCAGTGTCGGTAGTTAACAGATGGAATGCATTAGGCAGTGATGTGGAGGAGGCATACACAATTTGAAGTGTAGATACAATAGAGCCTAATATGCTTAAGAATCTGTACACTAGTTGATTGACAGTTGAGAGGCAGGACCAAAGAGCCAAAGCTCAACCTCTGCAAGAACAACTAGGCCAGTACACAATCCTGAGGGTGATCTGCGTACCTACAGAACAGGTCCTGTGGAACACTCGTGCACCTTCCCATATCTCCAGAACACCAAGTATTTAACCAGGCCAGTTCAATGTAATTACAGTATGGTATAAATGGAAACTAAGCCTCTGCAGGTCAGCCTCCAGTTTCTCTGCAGACCTGTGCCATCTCTTTCTTTCTTTGCCTACTTGGAGAGCTAATAGGTGGTTTTATAGCTCCTTTCTGAAAGTTCATAAGACTAGGTTAACACTATAGTAGGGCTGCCCTACCAAGGGAGCACACACTTCGTATTGTGAAATCTTGCGAATGGTTAACCAAGCATACTTACTTACCCATAATGTCATGCATTTAGTAATGCCACTGAAGCAAGATGCGAGGAAGGTGTTGTATAGAGAGGGGAGGGGTCAGTCAGTTTAGTTTGGAACTAAATTCTGGGGCCTATGAACACCAAACTATACCCAATCATCCAGGTGGTGGGTTCAGGATAACAGCAGCATCTAACAGCCTAGTCAGAGACCGGGCCACGAGAACATTGTGCCCAGCAGTTCAAATCATGTTTAATCAAATGAGGAAGATAGGATAAAATGCCAGTGTTTGAGGTAGCATTTTAGTTTTGAAATTTAAAGTTTGAGTCAAGAATCGGCAC